TGTATTTTCTTATGTTTAGTATGTGAGTTCTTGTGTTATTCTTACTTAGGGTCTAGTTGAGTTTTAGTTTAGCCAATATTATCATCTATGTCTCCTTGGTTTATGTGTCATGTTTCCTTTCCAGTTTATCATGAGTTTCATGTCTGTGTTGTGTCCATGTTGTCAAGCTTGAGTGTCATGTCTACAGGGAGTGCAGAATTATTAGGCAAATGAGTATTTTGTCCACATCATCCTCTTCATGCATGTTGTCTTACTCCAAGCTGTATAGGCTCGAAAGCCTACTACCAATTAAGCATATTAGGTGATGTGCATCTCTGTAATGAGAAGGGGTGTGGTCTAATGACATCAACACCCTATATCAGGTGTGCATAATTATTAGGCAACGTCCTTTCCTTTGGCAAAATGGGTCAAAAGAAGGACTTGACAGGCTCAGAAAAGTCAAAAATAGTGAGATATCTTACAGAGGGATGCAGCAGTCTCAAAATTGCAAAGCTTCTGAAGCGTGATCATCGAACAATCAAGCGTTTCATTCAAAATAGTCAACAGGGTCGCAAGAAGCATGTGGAAAAACCAAGGCGCAAAATAACTGCCCATGAACTGAGAAAAGTCAAGCGTGCAGCTGCTAAGATGCCACTTGCCACCAGTTTGGCCATATTTCAGAGCTGCAACATCACTGGAGTGCCCAAAAGCACAAGGTGTGCAATACTCTGTCATGGTCTGGGTGGGTACCTGCAGGTCTCCAACGGCGACTCCTCCTCCTTTGGGCGGAGTTCGGTTGCTCCTCCCTGGCTGACCACCTGTGAGCAATTATTCCAGCAGTATATCAGACCTGTGCACTCAACCGTTCATCGCCTGATCATCTGCTATCCCCATAGGTAGCACCTGGAGTGGAGGTCTTGTCTCCCTCATTCCCGCTTTCCTGGACCTGGGCCGCTTGCTGCTGATACGACGTTGCCTGCCGGCCCACCACTCACTTGCCTGCCTCCCCACGTCTCGACCGCTTCCGGGCCTTCCGCTCCACCTGTCCCCTCCACCTGAAACCAATGCCCCGGCCCCTACGTAGTCCTGTTTCCACCTCCCCGATGCCTCTGCTGTTCAGCTGTCTCCTAGAGGTGTCTAGGTCACCCTTAGTTATCTTAGATTATCCTACGCGCCACTAGTGTGGTGGCGTCATTTTTGTTTTGCTTGTGTTTGCCTGGGGGCGGAAATAAATCCTTTGTTCCCTTACTGTCTCGCTTCCGGGTTGGTTTCTGCACCTGTGTCCATCTCTGTTCCCTCGTGCCGCTGGGCCGTGACATACTCAGAGACATGGCCAAGGTAAGAAAGGCTGAAAGACGACCACCACTGAACAAGACACACAAGCTGAAACGTCAAGACTGGGCCAAGAAATATCTCAAGACTGGTTTTTCTAAGGTTTTATGGACTGATGAAATGAGAGTGAGTCTTGATGGGCCAGATGGATGGGCCCGTGGCTGGATTGGCAAAGGGCAGAGAGCTCCAGTCCAACTCAGACGCCAGCAAGGTGGAGGTGGAGTACTGGTTTGGGCTGGTATCATCAAAGATGAGCTTGTGGGGCCTTTTCGGGTTGAGGATGGAGTCAAGCTCAACTCCCAGTCCTACTGCCAGTTTCTGGAAGACACCTTCTTCAAGCAGTGGTACAGGAAGAAGTCTGCATCCTTCAAGAAAAACATGATTTTCATGCAGGACAATGCTCCATCACACGCGTCCAAGTACTCCACAGCGTGGCTGGCAAGAAAGGGTATAAAAGAAGACAAACTAATGACATGGCCTCCTTGTTCACCTGATCTGAACCCCATTGAGAACCTGTGGTCCATCATCAAATGTGAGATTTACAAGGAGGGAAAACAGTACACCTCTCTGAACAGTGTCTGGGAGGCTGTGGTTGCTGCTGCACGCAATGTTGATGGTGAACAGATCAAGACACTGACAGAATCCATGGATGGCAGGCTTTTGAGTGTCCTTGCAAAGAAAGGTGGCTATATTGGTCGCTGATTTGTTTTTGTTTTGTTTTTGAATGTCAGAAATGTATATTTGTGAATGTGGAAATGTTATATTGGTTTCACTAGTAAAAATAAATAATTGAAATGGGTATATATTTGTTTTTTGTTAAGTTGCCTAATAATTATGCACAGTAATAGTCACCTGCACACACAGATATCCCCCTAAAATAGCTAAAACTAAAAACAAACTAAAAACTACTTCCAAAAACATTCAGCTTTGATATTAATGAGTTTTTTGGGTTCATTGAGAACATGGTTGTTGTTCAATAATAACATTATTCCTCAAAAATACAACTTGCCTAATGATTCTGCACTCCCTGTACGTCTCTCCATGTTTTCTGTTTTATTCTGAAGAGACCAGTGTTTCCATGTTGAGTGTGTTTTGTTTTACTTCCCCCTGTGGCGTCATGTTCATTTGTATCAGCTGTGTCTCTCCAGGTGTTTCCACTTCCCTCATTACCCTTCTGTGTATTTAAGTCCTCTGTCTCCTTCTGTTCTTTGTTGGGTCATCTGTTTGTTTTCATGTCAGGTCTGAGAGTTTTTGTTAATGTTAATGTTCTGTTTCGTGTTTGGTTTGTTTCATAGTTACGTTCTCACATGTTACTGTCCAGTTTCATGTTCTTGCCCATCGTCATTATCCCAATTTAAGTTTCAGTTTAGTTTCACCCTTGTTTTGCTTTGCCTTGTTTTTCTGTTTTTTGTATCAGCTGCAATTTTTTTTTGTTTAGACACAAGTTCATTTCTCCCGTGTCTGCATTTTGGGTCCTTTCCATAAAACACAACGGCATTTCCTGCTGTAACAGTGTTGCTTTCTCGTGATTATTTTTCTTGTGTGGTTGAAATAAAATAACTCCTTCTACTGGTACTGTAGGTTACTGCCACTTCTGCATGCATGTCCATTTCACTCGTTGGCAGCAAAAGATGAACTACCACAATATTAGGCAGGTGATGTCAGTGATTTGTCTGATCGAAGAAGATGAAGCAGTCAGATATCATCTACAATGACCCTTTCGGTTGGTGTCAAATGTTGACCTAATGTTAGCTCAAATTTCTGACAGGTTAATCCTCAGTCCTGAACATCCGAATGCAACAAATGGACTTCAATCCTGACCAAGTCCAGGTAGGTAGTCGGAGAGCAAAGAGGTGGAACAAAACTGAGTCAAGAAAATACGGCCTTTAAGTCTGACATCATTAGCCGTTTCTGGATCCAAACTCCACTTCAGGTCCCAAAGTCAAACAAACTCTGCGGCATCACTGAGAGTTAAAAACTGTCTAAATCCTTTCATCTGTAATAAAATGAACAGTGTGGCTGCTCTATCAGGTGTAACAATTAATTTTAACATCCACTAGATTCTACCAAAACAGAATCTATGAAGTTAGCATTGAGTTAGCTCACTAGTTTCCATCTAAAGATGATATACCATGTTCTGACTGAGGGATTTTTGAGAAATTAAAATGTACAGCTAGCTATCACCTCCGACATAAATGAAGACAGAAAACTAAACAGCAGTGACGTTTGTAGGATTACTGAAGTTGGCCTAGCTGGTATATAATGATGTGCTACTTTTTGGCTAGCTACACAGCTATGGTTAGCATAATATAAACACAGTTAAGCTGGAGGATGAATGTAACTTTTTTCCACTCAATAAAAGTTAACAGGAGGGTTCCCAATGGTCAGGGACAAATGCAATCACACGGCAGGATGCTGTAAATGGACAAAACTTTAGTCAGGAGAACAACTGACATAATCTATCCACAATATGAGGTTAGTCATTAACAGACTGCTGCATGGGCTGGGCTGTAGCTACATCGTAAGGTTTTAAAAACTGAGCTTTAAAATAATTAGTGGTAATAAAAAACAGGAGGACTGACAGTGATCACTGCTCTTTGTTAGGGTTGTTCAGATTAAATAGAACAAGATACAAAGCATTAAAACATGTTAAAAACACAACAGCCTTAATGGACCCAGAAGCAGGGTTCATACGTTGTGAGTTCACAACTGTAAACATTTAAATATATCACTTTGAAAAGTCTAACCGCTGCACTAGTCCTATACTTGTGTTACAAGGACAAGCAGGCACAGAAAGGTAACAGTGGTTGCATCCTGTCAAACACAGTGCCTTTTACCATCTTTCTATTTAGATGTGTCAGTGCAACGGCCTCTGCGGTTTCAGCAGGATGTGCTCTTACGCTCACACATACCTCATGACCCAAGGACCACTTGCTGTAAACACCCAACAAAACTGTAGTTTTCAACAGGTCTTGTTTATTTCATGCTGCAACTCATATGAGCTCAGAATACTTCTTTTATCAGGAATGCAACACCATTATTGTATAACTGTGATTATTCAAACAGCAGTTGAGTAGAGAGTAAAATAATCTGACACAGATGCTGAAACTCAGTAAAAATGATATGAATTAAAAATGTGACATTGCATTTATGCAACTTAAGAGCAACGATTTCCTAATCCTGAATGTTAAACATCAAAATCCTGTGTTAATACAAATATTCCTGATTATCTCTTTCTGGACCCAGAAGTTGCTGTTTTCTTGTTTAACCTTTTATTATCTACAATGAGCTCACTGCCAGAATCAATATTCTGTATACTCAAGTTATTACTCAACACATGTTTTTGATTAAATGTGTTTTCATTACAGAGTGGGGTATACTGGAAATGCAGGTAAACTGGTCCAATAAAAAAAATGATCCTGTTTGTATAACATATTTAATGCAGACCAAGCTGCATTTTCTAAAGTTTTAGATCTGATTACGATTCATAATTTTTGAATATAGGCTATGTCTAACCGTGTAATTCTTCTTAGATATCATACTGTATTTTCCACTACAGGCTGCAGTAAACATGTGATCGTGACTTCCATACAGTAGATACTGTGTCACCTCTGGCTGGCCAATCAAACACATTCTTGCCTCTCAAAAGCAGCACAGTAACCTTCATTTTACATGAGAATCTTACCACAATGGTGTCTTCAGTGTTTGTCTTCAGGCTTCTGTGCCTGTTCTTGGGAAAAATGGGTAAGTTCCATTATCATGAATTCAGATTTTTGTATTGTGAAGTTATTACATTGAACTGAATGTACATTTGTTTGTTTTTTTTCAATTCCACTACAGTTCAGATGACAGAGTCGCAAATGTTCTCATCTGTTCATCAAGAGTCTCGTTTCATATCAGCTCAAGTTGGTGGAAACCTGACATTAAAATGTTTCCATGATGGTGACAGGTCTGCAAGACTTTACTGGTTTAAGCAAAATCTGGGACAAAAACCAAAGATCATCTCTCACTTTTTCAAATATAATGTGAACAACTCTTTTAGTGAAGAGCTCAAGAACAACCCACGCTTCACACTGGATACACAAGACGGCAAATATCACTTGACGATCAAGGATTTGCAAGTTTCAGACTCAGCTTCTTACTACTGTGTTTACTATTTATACACTTTAACCTTTTTAGAAAACATCATCATCAGTGTAAAAGGTTCAGGTGTGAACATCAAAGCTGTGGTCCAACAGTCAGCATCTGAGACCATCCAGCCAGGAGGCTCCGTGACCCTGAACTGTACAGTACACACTGGGACCTGTGATGGAGAGCACAGTGTTTACTGGTTCAAAGACTCAGGCGAATCCCATCCTGGACTCATTTACACACATTTGGGCAGAAACGATCAGTGTGATAACAAACCCAGCACACAAACGCACACCTGTGTCTACAGCTTGCCAATGAGTAACCTGAGTGTTTCTCATGCTGGGACCTACTACTGTGCTGTTACCTCATGTGGACACATACTATTTGGAAATGGGACCAAGCTGGAGCCTAAAGGTGAGTAACCTTTTCTACCTGTTTCTCACTTTATCAATATTTAAAGATATAGGCAAGAAAAAGCTCTGTTTCTGGTGTGTTGCAGGCACGTTTAATTCTCAGGGCTTGGTGTATTTCTTGAGCGGAGCTTTGACATTCAGCTCCATCCTCAGTGTTTTACTGGGATACTTGCTGTACAAGACAAACAAAAGAAACAGACACCAATCGACAGGTAAGTGGAGTCTTTTAAGCTTAGAACGGTTTTAGCTAAAGTTGGATTTTCAGTTAAATCAATTACTTTGTGTTTCACAAACAGAATCTCAAGCAAGATTTTCAGGCCCCGCAACAAGTTCGGAGGTGAATATAGTTTTTTTTAATGACTTGTTAAAGCGCTCTTCAACAAACTTTTTACAGTCTTCTGTTTTATGGCCATTGTTTACATCTGAAATCATGTTCTTATCTACTTTGTACACATTTTGACAGGGGTACCAGCATGCTGACAGCCTTCATTATGCTGCTTTAAGCATTAAAATCCCCAAGAGATCAAGAACACAGAGAAACAACACCGACGATGAATGTGTTTACTCTGCTATAAACAAATAAAGATAGATATTTGCAAATGAGGTGGCCAATTTTCTTTATCTATTAGAGAAATGCTGTATTGGTGTCTCTTAGCATAGACATTTTTGTACTTTCACTGTGGTAAAATTGTAATGATACAAATTTAGGAACTTCTGCCCTGTTTGTTGTTTTTGTGATGTCAAGGATTCCTCCTTTCTTTCTTGTTCTTTCATTGTTTTTTCCATGTACCAATGCATTTGTAGGAGATATTAATGATACTTTTCTACAAGTTTAATATATGAAACAATGTGCTTGTTTTTATCCTTATTGCTTTTCATGTAATTATGGAGACATTATGGACAAATTCACTGATGATCAAATAAATCTATTTTAGCCAGGTAAAGCATGTTTGAAAGGATTGATTTGTTCCTGTAGAATATAGTAGAGGCTCCAAAACCCCCGCTGTCCACTAATATGATTATGGGGATATGATATATGATATGACTTGAAATTGAGGAACTCCGTGGGACATGTCCTTCGAAGGCCGGAAGTGCAAGGCTGTAAAATGGGACGGTCTAGCCTCTGATTTGCGTAACCAGCTGTCTCTGTGGAGTTTAATAAAGTCAGCTGTCTGCTCCTTGCTATCTAAAATATAACAAAACACTGGAGTAAATTCTCAACCATCTCACACTTCAGTTTAATCCGTTTTCTGTTTGACATTTATTCAGATATGTAAAAACTATAACTTTAATCACAGCCAAACCGATTTACTCAGGACCAAATAAAACACTTAAAAAAAGCTAAACAATAACATTTTTAAGTTATCTAAGTGACTTATATATCATCATGTTAAACCTGAGAAGCAAAAGACTGCGAAAAGCAAAAGCATCAGAGCACTTTTGCAAATATGCAAAGTCTTTATAAATCGAGCAGATATTTGAAGTTTACACAGCTACATTCTCACCTGAAAATATCTTAAAAGGTTATTTTGAGACTCAGAAAGAGTAATATTAAAACCAAGTAGCGTCGCCTTTGTTTGAATTCTGGGATAGGTTGGGCAACAAAGGATACACCCGACCCATCCTTCAAACCCGGGAAATGAAGGACGCATTTGTCGGCTGCATTTGGAGGAGTCTGAGACAGCCTGCGTCGTCTGGCTGTCGTGTAATCGGTCTACAAATGCAGCGTCCGAAGGATGCAACCCCTGAATTTGGACGCAGCTTCTGTCTCCCGGTGAAAATTGCCTAAGTGTTTGCATTACTCCCTTCTTCTAGCTCCAAGTTACTCACCAAGTAGCAAGAACCCTTTGTGGTCACACTGTGAGTGGATGACGTTGACTATGATGTGGTGCCTTCAAACAGGGGAGGAGCCACACACATATATCACCTCAGCCTCCTAAAAGCATGGAGAGACGAAAACAGCTTTTCTACTAAACCTGGTGAGAAATAAGTTGGAGTTGCCCAATTCCACCATTCCCACCTCCCTCCATTATGATGACCATCTCACACAGGCCCAGAGAGCAGCTGTTGCTGCTTTGCGAAAGCCTTTTGCAGATGTGTATCCCCCCTGACCTGTCATACCAGTGTCAAAGAGCACTGTTTTGTAATGTGCCCTTGTGTGAGGTTGCATTAACAGCCCTATAGCTTACCCCAGCATAAGAGACAAATATTGAGAGAAAATTGGCCAAAATGCTAAAAATATTAGCAATAGAAGAGTGTTGTGTAGTCCCATAGGTTTTGCATCAACTACCACAAGGAGTTTGATGTCTACCCAATGCCTCAGGTTGACAAACTCCTGCACTGGTTAGGCACTGCTCACATTTTCACAACAACAGGAAAATAACTGCTTTCTCCACACAATTTGTCATATTTCCATTCAACTTGTTTGGAGCCCAAGCCACCTTCAGTGCCTCATGGACCAGTGCTTTGTCCACATGTTACATATGCTGCCACCTATTTGGATGATGTCATCATTCACAGTGAAACCCGGGCAGAGCATGTGCGGTGGATGACTGCAGTCCTGGAGTCCCTGAGGCAGGCGGGGCTCACAGCCAACCTGAAGAAGCATGCATCCCAGGAGCAAAAATGAGGTGAGGTGGTTTTTGGAGTTGGTTTGTGCCTGGCTTTGTGTCCAGAGAGGTGGAGCAACGGGTTCAGGGTGTAGTGTCAGGGGAGGCTGACTGATACAGCTGACCTCAATTATCTGATCATAGAAAACTAGGGAATGCATTTACCCAAAGGTAATCATACAAACACTGGCACTTATTTAATCTTATTTTTTTTATAATCTTTGTTAAATGCATCTGTGGTTATTAACAGGAAGTAGACTGTATCCAGAGATGTCTAAGGGACTGAACACAAAGGGGAAGTTAGCTAAATAAAATAACATTTGATTTTTCCTTTGCATGCTTGACACGTCTGTAGCAAGCATGACGGACCCCACCACAAAGTTCGTACACTTCGGCAACTTTATTGTGTTGCTATTACTTTCAGCACTCGGCTGCAGCTGCACTTACACACACACAACAATGAACTCAGGACCCAGTTCATTCTTTTTATGTAGGTGAGCCATGGTTGCTGATGGAGTTCCACTCCCCTGCAGCTGCGCCACAAACCATGCCCACCAATGTCTTTTCTTAAATGTATTCTGATTGCAAAGTATTTGGTTTTCAGCTGCAGAGAGACTCCTTTGGCAGTCCATAAAGATTTAATTTAAGGCTGAAAATGTTAAAGAATTAGAAAAAATGTTTTCAGTACCATATATATAATATATATAAATGTATTTTTTTTTCTTAGCTCATTTGCAATGCATGAAGTACTACTAGCTGTGCTGTTACTCCCTGTCAGTCTTAGTCCTGACTCAGACATTCAGTGCAATGATTTACTCTTTCCTCTCTGTGTCAGGTTGTGGTTTTTGGGAGGATGTTACTGTGTTAGTCTGACCAAAAATAGATGCTACCTGAGAGAAATAGCAGCAAAGTCAATTTCAATAGTGTTACCTGAATGGCACTGTCAGTACCCTTTAGGTAACACAGACATATTACCTACAGTCCATTTCAAATAACAGTAATGGCAACAGACCTTCAGAAATAATAAGAACACAAAACACATGCTACCTTTTAACATAAAGACCTACCATGTTACATTTGCTTTTATTCTCAATTCTACGATGAAAGTGAGTTGAAATCTGTTTGCAGTTTTCACAACATCAAAAAAGTGTATACAGACCTCATTACAGTCTGCCTCCTCTGGACAGCATGAGAAGTGTGTCAGTCATACTGTCACAAAGAGATCGATATCATGCGAACATCTAGCAAGTGCCAGGTGCCTTACTGTGTCTCTACTGAGTCTGTAAATGATGAACAGGAATAAGTTCCACAGTATGTTGTCAGTTGTGTTTACAATCTATGTAATGATCAGTTTTAGACTAAAAATATATTTTTAAAAAAACAAAAAAACCATGACACAACCATTATGGACCTGTCGCTATATCATTCTACCAAAGGCAACAAATGTCTGTGTTAAATGCACAGAAGACACATTTCATCCTGGGGGCAGATCACATGGCTTTGCAATGGCCAATCAAAAGCTGTCTTGTTTCTAAAGAGTGGAAAAAAGTCAAGGTTCATTTCATTTAACACAGAGGTTTGCACACGATGACACCTCCCAACTTTGTTTTCTATGTGGCATGTCTGATCTTTGGAAATTTAGGTGAGTTATGATTTTTTTTAATCTATCAGTGGCTATGATTGCTCCTCTATACACATGTGTTCATGAAATGTTTCCTGTAAAATTAATGCTGTGTCTGCGTTGTCTCATTCTCTATCAGTTCAGTTGACTCACCAGAATTTCTCCGTAACTCATAAGCAAGAGAGACGGTTTGTATCAGCTATTGTTGGTGAACACTTGATTTTACAATGTTTCTATGAAGCCAACGATGCAACGAGGTTCTACTGGTACAAGCAGAGTCTTGGACAGAAACCAAAGCCCATCTCTACTCAGTATGTTTTTAAAGCAAATGGGACTTTTCATGATGAATTCGAGAACAATCCACGCTTCACCCTGGATACAGACATAGGGAAAAACCACTTGTATATAACAAACTTGCAGAAGTCAGACTCAGGTTCTTACTACTGTGCAAGGCGGGTTTCTTTAGTCCTAGAATTTGCAGAAGGCACTACTGTCAGTGTAAAAGGTTCAGGTTTAAACATCAAAGCTTTAGTGCAGCAGTCAGCATCTGAGACCATCCAGCCAGGAGGCTCTGTGACTCTGAACTGTGCAGTACACACTGGGACCTGTGATGAAGATCATAGTGTTTACTGGTTCAAAGACTCTGGAGATTTTTACCCAGGACTTCTTTACACCCATGGAGGCAGGAACGATCAGTGTGAGAAGAACAAACAAACATACAACTGCACTTACAACCTGCCTATGGAGAGCATAAATGTGTCTCATGCTGGAACCTACTACTGTGCTGTTGCCTCATGTGGACACATACTGTTCGGAGAAGGAACTACTCTGAAATATAAGGGTAAGGAACATTGTCACAACAAATACAATATTGTGCTAATAAAACTCTAAAAAGTGCAAAAAACATTCTGAAATCCTTGATCTGGAATTCTGGGTCTTTACAGACAAGAATAAATCTCACTTCTTGGTGTATTTCTTGAGTGGAGCATTGGCTTTCACCTTCACCATGGTGGTTTCTCTGGCTTTCGTACTCTACAAGATGAATAAAAGAAAAAACTTCCAATCAGGTATGGACCATTGGTGCTACTTACATCTAACAGCTTGTATTCATTTATTTGGCTTTTCAATCAGATTTCAATTGTATGTATTTCACATTTAGAGGCTCAAGCAAGATTTTCAGCTCCCTCTGTAGAGGTATGTTTCATCTGTCTAAACGATTTTACAATTTAAATAACATAAAACACATTTTTCACAGCACTTTTTATTAGAAGGCATTTTTTGATATACATTTCCTTTTTTTGACAGAATGCTCATACAGACAACCTCCACTATGCTTCTATAAATGTTAACATT